GATGCAAGGCTGGTTCAACATACGCAAATCAATAAATGTAATCCAGCATATAAACAGAACCAAAGACAAAAACCACATGATTATCTCAATAGATGCAGAAAAGGCCTTTGACAAAATTCAACAGCCCTTCGTGCTAAAAACGCTCAATAAATTCAGTATTGATGGAACGTATCTCAAAATCATAAGAGCTATTTATAACAAACCCACAGCCAATATCATACTGAATGGGAAAAAACTGGAAGCATTCCCTTTGAAAACTGCCACAAGACAGGGATGCCCTCTCTCACCACTCCTATTCAACATAGTGTTGGAAATTCTGGCTAGGGCAATCAGGCAAGAGAAAGAAATCAAGGGTATTCAGTTAGGAAAAGAAGAAGTCAAATTGTCCCTGTTTACAGATGACATGATTGTATATTTAGAAAACCCCATTGTCTCAGCCCAAAATCTCCTTAAGCTGATAAGCAACTTCAGCAAAGTCTCAGGATACAAAATTAATGTGCAAAAATCACAAGCATTCTTATACACCAGTAACAGACAAACAGAGAGCCAAATCATGAATAAACTTCCATTCACAATAGCTTCAAAGATAATAAAATACCTAGGAATCCAACTTACAAGGGATGTAAAGGACCTCTTCACGGAGAACTACAATCCACTGCTCAGTGAAATAAAAGAGGACACAAACAAATGGAAGAACATACCATGCTCATGGATAGGAAGAATCAATATCGTGAAAATGGCCATACTGCCCAAGGTTATTTATAGATTCAATGCCATCCCCATCAAGCTACCAATGAGTTTCTTCACAGAATTGGAAAAAACTACTTTAAAGTTCATATGGAACCAAAAAGAGCCCGCATCTCCAAGACAATTCTAAGTCAAAAGAACAAAGCTGGAGGCATCACGCTACCTGACTTCAAACTATACTACAAGGCTACAGTAACCAAAACAGCATGGTACTGGTACCAAAACAGAGATATAGACCAATGGAACAGAACAGAGTCCTCAGAAATAATACCACACATCTACAGCCATCTGATCTTTGACAAACCTGAGAGAAACAAGAAATGGGGAAAGGATTCCCCATTTAATAAATGGTGCTGGGAAAATTGGCTAGCCATAAGTAGAAAGCTGAAACTGGATCCTTTCCTTACTCCTTACACGAAAATTAATTCAAGATGGATTAGAGACTTAAATGTTAGACCTAATACCATAAAAACCCTAGAATAAAACCTAGGTAATACCATTCAGGACATAGGCATGGGCAAGGACTTCATGTCTAAAACACCAAAAGCAACGGCAACAAAAGCCAAAATTGACAAATGAGAAGTAATTAAACTAAAGAGCTTCTGCACAGCCAAAGAAACTACCATCACAGTGAACAGGCAACCTACAGAATGGGAGAAAATTTTTGCAATCTACTCATCTGACAAAGGGCTAATATCAAGAACCTACAAAGAACTCAAACAAATTTACAAGAAAAAAACAAACAACCCCATCAAAAAGTGGTCAAAAGATATGAACAGACACTTTTCAAAAGAGGACATTCACACAGCCAACAGACACATGAAAAAATGCTCATTATCACTGGCCATCAGAGAAATGCAAATCAAAACCACAATGAGATACCATCTCACACCAGTTAGAATGGCAATCATTAAAAAGTCAGGAAACAACAGGTGCTGGAGAGGATGTGGAGAAATAGGACACTTGTACACTGTTGGTGGGATTGTAAACTAGTTCAACCATTATGGAAAACAGTATGGCGATTCCTCAAGGATCTAGAACTAGAAGTACTATATGACCCAGCCATCCTATTACTGGGTATATACCCAAAGGATTATAAATCATGCTGCTATAAAGACACAAGCACTCGTATGTTTATTGCGGCACTATTCACCATAGCAAAGACTTGGAATCAACCCAAATGTCCATCAGTGATAGACTGGATTAACAAAATGGGCACATATACACCATGAAATACTATGCAGCCATAAAAAAGGATGAGTTTGTGTCCTTTGTAGGGACATGGATGCAGCTGGAAACCATCATTCTCAGCAAACTATCGCAAGAACAGAAAACCAAACACCGCATGTTCTCACTCATAGGTGGGAACTGAACAATGAGATCACTTGGACTTGGGAAGGGGAACATCACACACTGGGGCCTATCACTGGGAGGGGGCAGGGGGGAGGAAATGCATTGGGAGTTATACCTGATGTAAATGACGAGTTGATGGGTGCTGACGAGCTGATGGGTGTAGCACACCAACATGGCACCAGTATACATATGTAACAAACCTGTACATTATGCACATGTACCCTAGAACTTAAAGTATAATAATAATTTTTAAAAAAGACTAATTCCACCTTGGATAAGCTTGAGTTTTTGGATTTGCAGTAAGTGAGCCTTAAGAAACTCAATTAAATTTTCCATTAAATGGTAGAGCAGAGATTTAATCTTTAGTTTTCTGATTTCAGAACAAGTATAGTTATCTATCTCATGATGGTGTTTCATAGAATGTAAGTGACATAGTCTGCTGAAATTTCTTTTCAAAAAAATCAAAAAGGAATTATAATTAAAAGTAGCTATCATTATCATTAATTCCACAAGCTTGAGCCACTTCATGACTTTTCTTTTTTACTGAGCAAATTTAGAACACTTTTATCTTTTTCACATGGTAGTTCTCTAAAGAAAAAAAAAATTCCACCAATGATCTAATTGGCATTGAAGTCAGCAGAACTTAGAGAAGCTTCATTCTATTTCTTAATCTTCTACCAATATAAGTTGTAGACTCATAAGCAGTTATGATGGTTCTATCACAATGTTAACTCAAACTGACCTTAATATTGATTAACATGCTCACTGATTTTTATAGTGGTTGCTAATCTCTTTGTACCAGTACAGCTGATTCCTTTGACGCAGGACCAGGATCTTACAGTTACCACTACTCAATTTAATTTTATTAGATTTAGCTTTGCACATAGGATTCTTCTGGAATCATGAATCTATACTAATGCAGATTCAGTATCACCATCTGCTGTAGCATTTCGTTTGTGAATTTATACTGCATTTCTCCTACATCATTAAACTATGGGCAGACACAAAAGAGTAATAAAGCCTGAGAATAAAACGCTGTAACTGAGAATCAGGAAAAACATATTTAATAAAACTACAAACTACTTGATAAATCATCAAACCAGTCAGTTTCTCCATCTTTTCCACACAAATTTCAGAAGGTCATTTGTAAAATACTTTTGCAGAAAACCAGATATAACTGGGATTCAGTTGTTCCAGAAGCATTTGGGCTGATCTAGGATTTTCATAAGCCAACTATAGAATAATTACATATTTTCCTTACAGTTTTTATGCCCATTGAAATTGATTTCACAGTTACAATAGCTACCTCTTTTAAGAGCTCATGCTTTTGGCAATTCATCTGGGCTTGGGCATGATAATCCTAACACCTCGGGAGGCCAAGGTGCAAGGACTGCTTGAGGCCAGGAGTTTGAGATCAACCTAGGCATCATAGAAAGACCTTGTGTCTATAAAATAAAAATAAAAAATTAAAATTAATTAAAAAATTAACTGGGAATGATGACACATGCCTATATTCCCAGCTGCTTAGGAGATTGCAGTGGGAAGATCGTTTGAGCCAAGGAGGTCAAGATTGCAGTGACGTATATTGCGCTGCTGCACTCCAGCCTGGGCAACAGAAAAGAACATTTTTCTGTCATGGACTATCCACTTTAAGTATGGTTCCCTTTACAATGTACTTCAAGAGAGAAAAAAGAATATGTTTGTAGAGACAGAAAAAAACCCGAAAAAGGCAAAAGAACCATCATAGAAATAAAACACTGTATTGACGTGAAAGACCTTTTGCTACATTTGATGATTTGTGGAAATTCCGCAAATTCTTCAATACTCCTTCCTCAAAATAGTGGAGTCTAATTCTTCTCCACTTGTTGTGTGCTGGACTTAGTGACTCATTTCTGAAGAATAAATATGGCTCAGGTGAGAGTGTGTAACTTGGTGATAAATGACATGAAGGCTTCCTCTTCCTCCTCACTCTCTCTCTCTTGAATCTTTAGCTCTGGAGAAATTTAGTTGCCATTTAAGCAACCTGTGAAGGGGACAATGTGGTAAGGTATTGGGGCCTCCTACCAAAATCTGTGTGAGTGAGCCATGTTGGAAGCAGATCCTGCAGCCCAGCCACGTTGTTAGGTCACGCAGCCCAGGCCAACATCCTTGACAGCTACACAGGAGATAATCTGACACAGAACTAAACAGCAAAGTCACTCCCAAATGCCTGACCCACAAAATCTGTGATAAAATAAAGGTTTGTTGTTTTAAGCAAATATGTTTTTAGCAAAATATGTTACACAACCATACATAATTAACATACTAGGCTTTAGAGGGTACTTGTCTCACCCAGTGTATTATTTTGGACATTGGAAGAATAGAGACATACCTATTCGTACACACACTTACATCTGTATAATTCTGAGTGGCAAACATTAAAAAGAATTTAGTTTACAAAAATTGTTTTAAATTCTACTTAGAATTGTCTACTTTGGAAAACAAAGAGTTCTCAAAACTCCATATACTAAAATATTGAAATTTATTGTTTCCCCTATTTTTTGCATTTAAGAGAAAGTAATTTCAGATTTTAAATGTAAAGTCAATACATGGACTGGAACTTACCGCTACATCCTGGAGCAAGTAGGTACCCACCCACTACTAGTGCATTTGTCCTGGTTCCCTGGGTTGCAGGATAAAAGCCATCTATACACTTACATATGATTAAATCTTCAGTTCTGCGTTTTGCCCTTTCAGGTGTGTAGACACCATTTTGAATATAAGGAGGATTATATTTTTTTTCTGAAAAGAAAATGGCTGTGTGGACTATGTAGAAATGACTACCCATTAAAATAAAGTACATTCTTGCTAGAAACACAGTAAAAATGCAAATAAGAAGGAAGGCCTGAGTAAGGACTTACCAGTGTTAACCATCCATGTATTCTTCACAGAAGCCTTTCAGCTTTTCTCCTTGAGTACACATATCTTAGCTCTGGTTGATTTAGTGAGAGTCTTTGATAAGGAAAGGAGACAGGCAAATACTGGGTAGAAGAGGGCAGTGCCCCGGGAAAGGCCCCACCCCAACCTTAAATGAGGACAGATATGTCTGTTTTCCTGTCCAAAATGTTGCCTTTTGGCCCTCCATGCTCCTCATCCAGTCCCCACATAAACCCAGCACCTTAGCGGGCACACTTAGACGGCTGAACATCAAGACTAATCACAGCGGAACACGGCGGCAGAGAGAGAAGAGGAGGGATGTCTGGATGCCGAGGGAGGTGGGTTCCGCTGGGGAAGGTCGGAGAAAAATCTGGCCGCTGGATGGCCCAACTCCAGGGGAAGACTACCTTCCCACTCCATCCCCTACTTCGGGCTCCCCTTCGAACTTGCTGAGAGCCACCTCCATCATTCAATAAAATCTTGCACTCATCCTTTGAGCCCGCATGTGATCCAATTCTTTCGGAACACAGGGCAAAGGCTCAGGATACAGAAGGCTATACACTGGTCCCAGGCTCTTTATATAAGGCAGAGGGTCCTTTGAACTGATTAACACGCAAGCCGTCTGCAGACAGCAAATCTGAGTTTTGTAACACACATCCACCTGGGCTTCTGTAGTCAGACATCTACCCCTAGACTCTGCCCTGGGGCCAGAACTCAAAAGCACTTATGCCGGCCTTTGCACCTGCCCGTCTGCCAACAGCCCCTAGGGGTTTGAGCTGCGGGGCGACAAAGCAGGTGACACCCCTGTTGCATGTCTCGCGAGGGGAATCAGGGAACTCTCCCATTTATAAGCTCTTTTCAGCTCATGAAAATATTTCCCCAAATATAAGTTTTATGAAAACATCTTTCAGCATTTCCTTCTGAACTACAACCCAAACAATGCCTAAACACCTTTCTAATATAATACAGTGTTGTTGGGAAAAAAGCATTGTTAGGGAATGACTTTCACTTGGCCTTAGTGTGAATGACTTGGCATTGTCAACATGGGTAGTGTTATTTTAAACACAGAATATCCTGTACAGTGATTTTCATTGTAAAGTCTGTGATGTCAAACTTCAATAAAATTTCTTTTTGGTAATTGAACCTGAAAAAAAAAAAAAAAAGAAGAAGAAGAAGAAGAAAGACAAAGGTGCTTTCACCAATTCAGTCCTTCAGTCCTTGGTCTTTTTTTCTTTCTGTTCCCTTCCATCAGAATTCAGAGTCCTGCCTTTTCTTCTCAGAACAACTCAATGGATGGAGTTAGTAGTGTTTTTGTTTGATACCTAATGTAAATGACGAGTTAATGGGTGCAGCACACCAACACAGCACATGTATGTGTATACGTATGTAATAAATCTGCACGTTGTGCACAGGTACTCTACAACTTAAAGCATAATAATAATAATAATAAAGATTAAATTCATTAGCTTGTTATTCTATTTACTGAAAGCAATGTAAGAAATATAGAAAAAGAAATCTGGGAAGATGGCGGAGGAGAAAACACCTGGAATTTGACTCCTCACCTTTACAGTTGCATGGCCAGAATTTGTCTGATTGTACTATTTTTGGAGTCTATTGAAGGCCTACAACTTCTAGGGGTGACTTGGATCATAAGTTGCACTCACATTCAGTCGATTTTAGCTCCCAGCACGGTGGCATATGTTCATACCATGCTCCTTAGCCACATGATAGGCAGCTGTATGTGTATTTCTGGAGCAACCTGTGCATAGCATCGGGGAGCCAGAGTGTCGAAAACAACTCGATTCTTCAAATATTTGAGATTTGTGATCTGATTGCTGGGTTCTTTGATCACAGAGATGCAGAGAGAAAGATAGGCGGCCATTGTTTTTGCAGCTTTCTCCATTGTTGCAATTCCCTCTCCTTGGCTGATGTGAATTTGTCCAAGGGGAGATACACTAGGATATTCAAAAGTAACCGCATGAATGGGGAAAATTAGAAAATGACTATGAACACTTAGGAAAAAGTGCAGGCTTGGAAAACACTGGAGACAACCTAAAGTCTATACTACAGGCTAATTCTTGACACAGACATAGCCTACAGCATTGAGACAAAAACAATAAATGAAAACAATGCAGAAAGAACCTCAGCAAACATGTAGAAGTAGGAGAATCTGATTCCCATTGTTACCCATTATTAGATTAAAATGTTCAGTTTTCAACAAAAAATTTATGTCATATAAAGAAATAGGAAAATATGGCCTATTAAAAAAAATAAACTGAAAGTTTCCCTGAAAAAGTTCTGATGGTAGGTCTATTAGACAGAAACTTTAAGATAACTGTATTAAAGATGTTGAAAGAAGTAAAGAAAGATGTGAAGAAAGAAAATGATGTATGATCAAAATGGAAATATGAATAAAGGATAGAAAGCCTGAAAAGGAACCAAAAAGAAATTGTGAAGGCACAAAGTACAATCATTGAAAAGGAAAAAGATAAAAAAAGAGATTCAGAAGCATAGTAGAGCAGGCAGATAAAGGAATCAACAATTTTAGGAAAACCAAAATTATTGAATCTGAATAAAAGAAAAAGAGATTAAAGTATAACGTGAAGAGAATCTAAGGAATACAGGACACCAGGAAGCCAACCAACATACACAAAGTGGACTTCAGAAGGAGAAGAGAGAGAAAGATGAATAGAGAATGTTTGAAGAAATAATGGCATTGATAGAGACCTTCAATAAACTTAATGAACTTAATGAGAATGAACTCAAAGAGATAGATATCAAGATACATTAAAATCAAGATTTTGTCAAAGATCAGATGGCTGTAGATGTGTGGTATTATTTCTGAGGGCTCTGTTTTGTTCCATTGGTCTATATCTCCGTTTTGGTACCAGTACCATGCTGTTTCGGTTACTGTAGCCTTGTAGTATAGTTTGAAGTCAGGTAGTGTGATGCCTTCAGCTTTGTTCTTTTGGTTTAGGATTGTCTTGGCAATGTGGGGTCTTTTCTGGTTCCATATGAACTTTAAAGCAGTTTTTTCCAATTCTGTGAAGAAAGTCATTGGTAGCTTAATGAGGATGGCATTGAATCTATAAATTACCTTGGGCAGTGTGGTCATTTTCACAATATTGATTCTTTCTATCCATGAGCATGGTATGTTCTTGCATTTATTTGTGTCCTCTTTTATTTCACTGAGCAGTAGTTTGTAGTTCTCCATGAAGAGGACCTTTACAACCCTTGTAAGTTGGATTCCTAGGTATTTTATTCTCTTTGAAGTTATTGTGAATAGGAGTTCATTCATGATTTGGCTCTCTGTCTGTTACTGGTGTATAAGAATGCTTGTGATTTTTGTACATTGATTTTGTATCCTGAGACTTTGCTGAAGTTTCTTATCAGCTTAAGGAGATTTTGGGCTGAGACAATAGGGTTTTCTAAATATCTGATCTTTGACAAGCCTGACAAAAACAAGAAATGGGGGAAAGATTCCCTATATAATAAATCGTGCTGGGAAAATTGGCTAGCCATAAGTAGAAAGCTGAAATTGGATCCTTTCCTTACTCCTTATACGAAAATTAATTCAAGATGGATTAGAGACTTAAATGTTAGACCTAAAACCATAAAAACCCTAGAAGAAAACCTAGGTAATACCATTCAGGACATAGGCATGGGCAAGGACTTCATGTCTAAAACACCAAAAGCAACGGCAACAAAAGCCAAAATTGACCATTGAGAAGTAATTAAACTAAAGAGCTTCTGCACAGCAAAAGAAACTACCATCACAGTGAACAGGCAACCTACAGAATGGGAGAAAATTTTTGCAATCTACTCATCTGACAAAGGGCTAATATCCAGAACCTATAAAGAACTCAGTCAAATTTACAAGAAAAAAACAACCCCATCAAAAAGTGAGCAAAGGATATGAACAGATCCTTCTCAAAAGAAGACATTCATACAGCCACCAGACATATGACAAAATGCTCATCATCACTCACCATTAGAGAAATGCAAATCAAAACCACAATGAGATACCATCTCACACCAGTCAGAATGGCAATCATTAAAAAATCAGGAAACAACAGGTGCCGGAGAGGATGTGGAGAAATAGGAACACTTTTACACTGTTGGTGGGATTGTAAACTAGTTCAACCATTGTGGAAAATAGTGTGACAATTCCTCAAGGATGTAGAACTAGAAATACCATTTGACCCAGCCATCCCATTACTGGGTATATACCCAAAGGATTATAAGTCATGCTGCTATAAAGACACATGCACACGTATGTTTATTGCAGCACTATTCACAATAGCACTGACTTGGAATCAACCCAAATATCCATCAATGACAGACTGGATTAAGAAAATGTGGCACATACACACTATGGAATACTATGCAGCCATAAAAAAGGATGAGTTTGTGTCCTTTGTAGGGACATGGATGCAGCTGGAAACCATCATTCTCAGCAAACTATCGCAGGAACAGAAAACCAAATACCACAGGTTCTCACTCATAGGTAGGAATTGAACAATGAGATCACTTGGACACAGGAAGGGGATCATCACACACCAGGTCCTATTGTAGGGAGGGGTAGGGGGGAGGGATAGCATTAGGAGATACACCTAATGTAAATGACGAGTTAATGGGTGTAACACACCAACATGGCACATGTATACATATGTAACAAACCTGCACGTTGTGCACATGTACCCTATAACTTAAAGTATAATTTAAAAAATCAAGCTTTTATTGAATTAAGTTATTTAATTTGTAGAGATAGGGTCTTGCTCTGTCACCCTGGCAGGAGTGCAGTGATGTGATCATAGCTCACTGCAATCTCAAATTCCTAGTCCAAAGCAATCCTACTGCCTCTGCCTTTTCAATAGTAAGGACTACAGGCATGCTCTACTATATCAGGGTAAGTTTTTAATTTAATATAACTTTTTATTATTTTTTTGACAGGGTCATGCTCTGGCACCGAGGTCGGAATGCAGTGATGTGATCACTGCTCACTGTAGCCTCGACCTCCTGGACTCAAGTGATCCTTTCACTTCAGCCTCTTGAGTAGCTGGGACTACAGGTGCATTTCACCATACCTGAAGACTTTTTGTTGTTGTTGTTGTTTTAGAGACAGGGTTTTGCCATGCTAGCCAGGCTGGCCTCAAACTGCTGGCTTTAAGCAACTCTCCCCATTCAGACTTCCAAAGTGCTGGTTTTACAGGAATGAGATACTATACTTGGTGATAATCAAACTTTTAAATAGCAAAGACACAGAGAGTCTTGAATGAAGCAAGAGAGAAGCAATTTCTCACAGGTAAGTATTTCTTAGTAAGATTATTAGGAGATTTCTCATCAGAAACTTATAGGCCAGAAGGTGTTGGGCCAATATGTTCAATATGCTAAAAGAAAAAATGTCTTTCAACTAAGAATCCCATATCTGTCAAAAGTGTCCTTCAAAAGTGAAGGAGAAATTAACTCATTCCCAGATAAACAAAAGCTCAGGGAGTTTGAGACCACTAGACTTGACTTTCAAGAAATGTCTAATAGAGTCCTGAAGGGTAAAGTGAAATAATACTGGAC